GAGTGGCAGGTTCACAGCATTCTGAGCAGGATGCTGGAGCCAGTGTTTGTAGAATTTTATACACTGATTGGCTTTTCCCTGTTGTACCAAATATTATGGCAAACACCCGGGGCCAGTGTTGAACATAAATCACGAGTCTGTAACACATATCTTTTTTAGGATTAATTAATTTTGTACAGAGGGCTGCCCAGTAACGCAGTGAGTAGCACTACTCCCTTGCAAAAAGAAGACCCCAGGTTCGATTCTCGGCCTGGGGTCTTTCTGCATGGAGTTTGCATGTCCTCCCTGTGCATGCATGGGTTTTCTCCAGGTGCTCTGGCTTCCTCCCACAATCCAAAATCATGAGTATTAGGTTTAGTGGCTTCTCTAAATTCTGCTTATGTGTGAGTGTGTGCATGAATGGTTGTTTGTCCTGTTTGTCTCTTTGTTGCCCTGCGATGGACTGGCTACCTGTCCTGGGTGTACCCTGCCTCTCGCCCGTAGACAGCTGGCACCAGCACCCCTTGTGACCCCACTTGGGATAAGCGTGACGGAAAATGGATGGATAGATTGATGGATGCACGGATGGTATTTTGTAAACTATCTGTTAAATAAACTACTAAACTAAACAACACCAAACTTCAAGTAGAAATAGGAAATGGTTGTTTCCCACATTTTCAAAGATTTACATTAATACATATCCACTTCTGTGTGTGTGTATAAAAATATTTAATTTCCACCCCTGACTTTGAAACAGATCAGACAGCGCCTTCTGCTTTCTTTCTGCTTCTGCTTACTTCACCCGTATCCAAACCCTGTAAAGGTGCAGAGCCGGTTGAAGAGCAGCTATGCCTTATTTACTACATTCAGCCTGATAATAGATACCGGTAATTATCCTAGTGGATTGTTTCATATATGAAAAAGAAACATATCCGCTCACAATAAAACAAATTCTATTTGTATTTTTATTATTTAAATTTGATTGTATTTATTTTTGTTTGGTTAGGTTAATGCCACAGCTCCAGTCATCAGTGGGTCCATGGATATGCAACAGCATCCATGTAGAGGAGACAGAGACTGAGTGAATTAGAGCTTTGTGGAACTAAGATTCTCAAAAAAAATGGGATATTTTATCCAAACGGTGTCTTTTGGGTTGAGTTCAGGTTCCTAAGGAGACCAGAAAACTTCTTCCTCCACTCAGGCTCACTCATTCATCTCCTTATAAAACTTTTTCTGGGAGCTGGTGCAGTTATAGAGACAGGAAGGGGCCATTTCCAAACTGTTCCATCAGACAGGTGCATAAATTGTCCAAAATGCTAAAGTAGAGTTCCTTTATGCTATAGGACCATCAAAACCACCACCTACCCCCTAAATCTTAACATTTTACATAATCAGGTCACTCAATTCTTTCTCCAAGTACTAAACCCAGGCATCATTTGTCTCTCCAATGCTCATGTCTTCACTACTCCAGAGTCCAGTGGTGGCATGCCTTATACCACTGCATTCAACACTTTACACCTTACTTTGTTTACTGTGGCTTGGATAAAGCTGCCAGCTATGGAAACTGTCTCTTCATGCTGCTATTGAACTAATGTGAGGACCGCATGAGGTTTAGAGGTGTGCATCAACTGACTGCAGAAAGCAGCAGTGATCTCTGCACACTATTGCCCCTCAGCATATGCTGTGTCATTTCTAGTCTCCTAATCTTTTTTTCTGTCTCAGTTGCTGTCATTTCCAATCACTCATCCACTTCATTGCAATACCACTAGTGGTTTACTGTGGAGTATTTAGTATCATAGAAATGCCATGACTGGACTTGATGCACACTTCTTCTACAATGGTTCTGAAATTCTTTTTGAATATCTGGATCATGGATGACATTAAGAAAATATATAATCAACTCTTCCTGCAACGAGTCGTCATTGATAACTTGTAAATAAGACAAAACGATCATGGATTTTACGATTAAGGCTTATTTTAGAACCTTGGCTAAAATTGCTAAAACAACAGTTTGCATTAGTTGAACACCTCCCTCGTATTCTTCACTCGGTGAGATGTCCCATGCTATACCCGATTGGTAAAAAAAATTGTTAAATGAATAAACAATAAAGCTATTTGGTTGACTTCGTCCAAACTCTTCTTGTCTTTCCTGGTCCTATCTTTAGTCCTTATCACACTGTGTGTCTTTCTCCTTCTAAAGCTGTTCCAATAATGTTTGGCACTGCGGATAAACACAGGCACTTACAGTGCCCCCAATGCTAGATAAGCAATGTTTGCACATCTGGTGTATATGGTATGTGAGAGAAAAGTTCACAAAGTTCATGCTAAGAGTGGATCAAGTCCATGTAAGATCATCATTCATGAAGTATTTAAAACTATCTTATTAATGAACCTGCTAATATTCTATACATAAACGTAATTTATCAAAGTGGTTTTCTGTTTCTGTATGTTAAAGCTTAGACATCATTACACACCTTTTTATTGCCTTCCGGTTTTACCCCTGATTTGCATCAACTTCCTTGTCACCTTTCAGGCTGCTTGACTCGCTGAAATGTTGACTCTGACTCTCATCATGGTCTATTTACTCTCCCCTACATTTACACCAAAAACCTACAGAAAAGGACTCATAGTTTTATGCCATTGATGGCACCTGATGATAAAACTGGTTTTACGTATAGTTATGGATTCTCTAACCTTTAGAGTACTCTAATGGTAAATCCAACTGGGAAAAAGGTGTTAAAATTAGAGGCTAATAATTTAAGAGCAAAATATTAGGTAGCTGCTAGAATATGTTAGTCTAGAAATGTTTGTCATTTCTGCATTGTTGTTTATGACCAGAATAAAGGACCGAACTGATCATTAAGATTGATTTCACGCTGAATTAGACATTAATTCTTGAGATTGAGTTTAAATTTCTTTTCCGCTGAAAAAAAACAACTAAAGTTTTTTCAGAGGGCTAATTAAACAGGCTAATATATTTCAGATCATTTTATATTTACATGATTATTTCCATGAAAAGTCTCAGATGACAGGAGTTGCACTTCCTTTTTGCCTCATGTTAACTCCCAGTAGTGATGACTTTGTATTAGTTTCATTTTATAGGAAAAAGGATTTTTTTCATCCATCCCAATTTAGACATGAGGTTTCATCACTCAAGTAGAAAACCTTTGGGACCTGATCTGTGTTTCATTTATGGCTGCAACTAACTATTAATATAACATAGTACGATTAATCTGTTGATAATTTTTTTGATTAATTGTTTAGTAATCGGATAGCTAGTTATCCAAAGTTAGTTGCTCTGTCAGCTAAAGGCATTTTCTACAGTCTCTTTAATCCAGTTAACGATTAATCAATTACTAAATTAGTTGACGATTATTTCAATAATCGATTAATCATGATTTATCCGATTAATTATTCAGCCCTAGTTTCATTACTAATAGAGAACATTTATCACTCCTGTATTTTTAGTACTTCAACCAGTTTCAAAGTGGAGTCATATGTAGCCGTTTACTGTGTGCTTCTTTTCTTTAGCATTTTACAGTTTTTCTTTTCTTTTTTTTTTTTTTAGATCTGTCAGAGAAATATTAAAATAGATAACCATATGCAGTTTTCTCTCTCAAATAAATTTACTTTTTAAATCTTTGTATCCATCGTTATTTCCCCCCTCCTAATTTGGAGTCAGTAGTGTTTTCATATAAATCATATTCCATGTTACTGGAGCTGATCTTGCCTTTGTACAGTTTCCTCCAAGACTTTTCCTTTCACTCAACTTTTATGATATACTTAGGTATATGCAGCTCCCAGTAAAAGGAAAGTCATCATATCATATTTAATATGTTTTATTTTCATGAAGTTAAATCCTTGATCAGAATTAAAGGAAAGGAACACTTAAAATATATTTGCTGTGTGTTTTACATGATATTATATATATATTTTTTTTAAATAAACACATCTTACTAATATTTTTATATTCAAGACATACCTTTACATCCTTAGAATATAAATATGGAAATTATGCAGACCTTTGGGAGTCTAAACAGTTGTCAACATTAGCCTTTACTGTGTCGGGGCATCTGTTTTTTCTGTATGTGTAATTGCCCAGCAGAGGAGGCTGTGCATTCTTTATGGTTGAAGTGGAGCATGTCCTGATTTTCTTTTAACAGCCTTCAGATTAAGTGTAAACCTTCGAAGTACTTGTGGGAGTGGACTTTGTTGCAGGTCACTGCCTATCTCTCTCGGGATATGCAGCATGTCACCCCCCCTTGTCCTCCTCTGCCTCTTTTTAGATCCAGTCATACCCATAGGGAGATGGGCTGCAGGCAAGCAGAAAGGTTTTATGTAGCAGCAAACACCATAAACAGTTTAACGCTTACTGAACACATCTCTGGGCCTCTGCAGTTTGCTGGCTACATAGGCTATCTAGACCAAGTGATGTCACAGGAGCAGTGGATTTAAGCAGGTTTTAGTTTGACGCTAATCCCCTTGTGGCGAGCGCAGTAAATGAGAGGACAGTCCCTGCCAATGGCATGCATCGGTCCCCGCTGGATTAGTACATCTCCACCCCTCCTCCAGTCTGTTGTCATGGTCCAGCATGTGTTTTTACCCCAATTTCTTAACCTCAGTCTTAGTGTGGGATGCCCAGCTCAAGCATGATCCTAGCAGAATGGAGTAGAGCTTCGCTCTAAAGGTGTGTTATTTCTCTGCCTGTATGTCAGCGTGTGTGTTCTGTTTCTGTCTTCATCATGTTGTATGTCTCTCCCCGTGGATTTCTAATGTTTCCAGGACTGAATTATTTAGACAGGCTGGCAGCAGGGAGCTACATGATAGCTTAGACTTAAGAGTAAGGGGAGGGAGGGGGTGTACAGCTGCAGATCAGGTAAGAAGGTACCTCCTGCTTCACCTGTTCCTCTCTCCTACGCTCTTCTCCCATATGATTGGGGGTCAGTGTAACTGGAGAGTCGAAACCCAATACTTGGCTCTATTTACTGCTTTTGTAGCTATACTCATTATTGTCTTTACTGATGCCTGACTCGAGCGAACAGTCGCATTTTGGTGGCTCTCTGGGCCAGCAGGTTGCTGCCTGGAGCGAGGGACAGAACGACAGGGCTGAGAGCCGCTGCTTGTACTGTGGTACTGTCCCAGAGCGGAGAGACTCTCTCCTGCTTGGGGGTAGAGACAGCACAGCTGGTTTTCTTCATCAGCTAGACCTGGCTGGGAAACGGGATCAAGGCCTGCGTGAACAACAGCTCCTGAGGAAGAGTCCTGTCCCTGATCTTTGTAGTAACCTCTACCTTAGACGAGCCATGGCAGGCCGGGCCTCTGTACAAGCTCAGGATTACTACCTGGCTGACACTTCCTTATCTGGTCAACCACCTGAAGAATCTGGGTTTTACAGGGATAACCAGCACTCGCTCACCAGATCAGCCTCGCATTATGGAGGGGGGAGGCCTGCGTGGGATCAAGGACAGGCAAGGGCCACACCTTCTGTACTGGCTTCTACTTCTGGACCTACATCCGTGCCTCCTCCTCCTCTTCCTCCTCCCCCACCACCTCCTCCCCCTCCTCTTCATGAGCTGAGCCGTTTGTATCGGGAAGCTTTGGGATCTAAGGTGATCCCAGACGTCCAGCGTATTGGTGGCAGCTCTTTTACTCCGGCTGCTATCTACGGGGTCCAGCCCCCTCTTCCCATTTATGCTACCGAGCTGCCATCTGTTCCACATCAGGTTTATAATAGCATCACCAGCTTACCTGTGGAATCTCGTCATCCAGCTGCATCAGTTTCAGTAGTGGACCCAGCATCTCAAGCAATGGACGGAGCTCTCCCTCGGCCTTATGGAGCTGTAGCCTCCCAGAGGCTGCCTTATGACCCAAATTATGACCCAACGGCAGCCATGATGGCTGCCACAGCTGGGATGCCTTCCAGCCTGCCGACAGTACATCCAAGCTCTACAGACCCCAAGAAGATGGTAGATCCTACCTTTTTGGCTTTCCTACGAGCTGAAGGCTTGGCTGAAAGCACCATCACTCTGCTGCTGCAGCATGGCTTCGATTCCACTTCCACTCTGACGATGATGGAGGATCATGATATCCGGTCTGTGGCCCCAAACTTGGCCCAGGCCCGTGTTTTGTCCCGTGTGGTAATGGGATGTAAGACAGGCAATGCTGCAACGCGTACCCGGTCAAACAGCTTCAGCCATCGCAATGACCTCTATATGCAGCAGCAGGGGTTGACGATGGATCCCAGTCTGATGCAGCAACCCCCTACCACCATTCAGACTGTATCCCCAAGGATGGGAGAGTTTCTTGGCCGCAGACCAAGCAGTGCTCCCTCTCAGCATCTTCTTGAGACGACCACCTACCCTGGGGCAAGACCAGTGGCAACTGGAGCTTTCCCAGTTAGCCCTGGAGGATACAACAATGTAGGACCTCAGGGAAGACCCCTCTCTATGTACAATGCTCACACTGGCCTCAGCATGTCCGCTCTTGGGCAGCAACCCCAACCAACACCAGGCACTCCTGGAATGGCACCCAAAACCTTCTCCGGCTCTTACTCCCCCATGGAGCTGATGAAGAGAGCCCCAAACCTTCCCCCGGCTTCTCCTGTTGCGGCAGCAAGTCCCCTCCACAGCCCACAGCTTCTCCGAAAAGGGATCAGTGCAGCTCCCGAGAGCACCATTGTTCCTTCTACTTCTAACACTACTCTCCAAGGGCAAAACAGCAGTAACAACAAGCTGGTCGGACGTCGCACCGGTCCCCCTGTTATAGTCTCAACTATGACCACCGCGCAAGACACAAGTAATGTCAATCCTTCCTTTTTCTTTCCATATTTTCTAAACCTTTAGGCCTAATATCCACATCAATATCCTTTTCTTGATAATCATATCCATCCTATGATTCTGCTGTGCATAGATAAGTCTTTGGAATGCAAAACTGAAATTACCCTGCTATTGTTTTTGAAAGGAAGAAAAGCATGTTAAGATGTCTCTGACAAGTTAAGCTGCTTTGCCCTGAGAGGTTTCTTTTTACAAATTATGCAACTATTTATTCATGTATTGCACCAGAGTTGTGTCATTTGCCAGAGGGAGCTGTGTCTCATCCCCAAGTTGAAACATTTCAAAGAAAGCAGTTTTCATTTTTTTATTCGTTTGCTTGTTTTTAATTAGGTTGCTGGTCAAATGGTCCGTGCTTTTGTGGTTGTTTTACCGGATTGTTAGGAGAATTATTCTGCCTATTTGGAGAGTACTCTTAAAATAAATTAATAAATAAAAATACTAGGCTAAAACGGGTGTCCTTCAAATGTTCTTCTGCACTTAAGGCATATGAAGCAGGTGTGAAAAAAATACACAGCTTGTTTTTAGTATGCAAACAGAATTGCTGTCATTCTATTTTACGTCGTACTCTCACCTAATCTGGAGCTTAACAACCACAAATCCAATTACTCTAATTGGATATATGTTTGTGTGGACTATTATAGGTAACTGTTTTTTTGTAGCTTCAGCTCTGTTTCTGTAGTACAACACAACCCAAAGATTTTTATCTCTATTTTTTAAGGACTGAATTCAAAGCCTTACTTTATAAAGAAAATATTTACCCTTATTCTGTTTCTTTATAACTTCCTTTATGGCCCTGTTTTTATTATACACATTTTTCACTTTATAGGAACAAAACATAGTACTGCAACAAGAAAAAAGTCTGATTTTAGATGTTTTTTGTTGTATATCTACAGTTTTTAGCATGTTGCCAAGCAGTAGGAAGGTCTTGCTAACCTATGGTTTAATCCTGCACATGCATCTTTGTTTGTACTGCATGTCTGTGTTGCCCCATTATGCATTGGTAATCTAAGGTGTATCCTACCTGTCACCAATTGAGTGCTGCAGGTAGGGACCAACTAACTCAATTATCACAATTAAATATAGTCCATGGAAATGAGATAAAACAGATATGGGGGAAGTCAAAGTTGGAAATGAACCCCTACTCCAGGGGCTATATGTATTGCTCCCCCTACAGGTTTGGTGGGAGACAGTTTAGTAGATATCAGCGGATATATATGTACGTTTCCAGTTTTTTCAATAAAATTTAGTGGCCGTGGATTATGGTGAGGTGCACTCTATAGTCCGAAAAATACAGTAATTAGCAAATCTTGATCTAAACATTTCCATTTACACCTATTTAAAGGAAATGTGTCAGACAGGACTATCTGAATGCATAGAGTGCATTCAGAACATTTTAAAAACACTCGTTATTTTCACTCTCCTCATTATTAACCCTATGTTGTTGTTTTATCAGCTCTTAGTCAAACGTGGTGTGGGTTTTGTCAAACCCTTTATCGTCGCCTTACTTGAAGTACCCCAGTACTGTAGTCCACTTCACTCTTTTATCCACTGGTTGTTTAAAAGTTACTTCTTAAAAGGAGCTGATCATGTTGAGAGAAAATTAACTCTTGCACAGTAATTTTGAGAGATTTTTTTCTTTTAATAAACATTTTTATTTCAACAGCTTATTAAAGCGAGTGTCAATGATTCCCTTCATACGAGACTTAATATGGCCTTTAAAAATCATTGACTATAAACAGCAGTTACAGCAGCCATTGAGAAATTCTGTCATGTTTTATGGCTTCATGGCCATGAAAGCATTTACTACTAGAGTTTCATATTACTTTTAAAGGTCACAAAAGTGAGCTTTTATTCAAGCAGTCTTTTCCTTGTGCTCTATTGAATTGATTTTTAATAATCTCACACTAAATGCTTTAGAAGTGTTTTGAGACTGTTTATGTTTTACACAAATGAACTTTGTATTTTAGAACCATAATTTGGGTGGTTTGTTTCATCCTTAAATATTAAAAATCTATTTCTGACAAAACATTTTTCCCCTGTTACTTGAAGCTGGTTGTTCTGTTTTTAGCCCTTGAGCACCACATCTAGCCCCCCTCATGATCAGTGTGTGGTCTAATGAACTTGTTACAGAGCAGCGACTTTTATGTAGTGACCTCTCTTCATGCGTTGTCAAAGAACTAAGAGGCAGGAGGAATGGAGGAGGATCTGTGGGGGTGGCAGGTCCATCACTCTGAGCTTTGTGAAAAACATTCACATATCAAGGGTCGCCACTACCCGCAGCATTCTTATCACAGCTGGCATCATTTGCATGTGGCTGGAAATTTTGTTCCTGTTCCAAATTCATCTGATAACCGGCAGCTCCAGCTGCTGATCAGAAATCCTATTCCTTAATTGCTTGCTGCTAGGCAACTAAGATTTCAATGGTAATCCAGGATGGCTAATATTAATGTTTAGGGAGAGAAAATGTGGAGAGATGCATGCTGTTTTTCACTTTTTTCATGTGCAACCTTTTTTTGCAGTCAAGGATAAAGCGAAAATAATAAGATCCTTCAAAGTGCTTTGTGATACATTCTGTTTAATCGCTTTACCCGCTTCTTGTGTGCCATACATGTAGAAATTACTCTTGATTTTAAAGTAAAGATCCACAAGCTCTGTGAAGGGACTCTTTTATTGCATAGGATGGTTTGTGGTCTTGAAAGATGCAGGTGGAATGCAATGAATTTCATTATTATTGATAAGTACATTCATTTCAATGAAAATGTTACATAGATATAGATTTATTATCTACAGAGAGATATAGATTTAGAGATTTCTCCCTTTTAATTGTGATGACTGTGGCTCACAGCTAATTAAAGCCAACATTCAGTTTCTCTAAAATTTTTTTTTTTTTACAGAATTAGCCTGGTGTGCATTTTATGTGCAATGCATTAAAATGCCTTGTATGCACCCTTAAAAATTTGTGGTAGATTTCCTTGCCTGCATTGCTGTATCTTTATGGTTTGAGATTGAAGCGAACAGACTATACCTCATATGAGGTGAAGGAAGCCTAGATTGCCGTACAGCCCTTAGCTCACCTGCATTGTTTGTGCTATTATCTCTAGTCTTCATCTAGACACCATCCTCCTTAGATTAGATGAGTTTTTTGATACAAAAAACTAAGCGATAAAGTGATAATTGAAATGGGTATTAGTATGTAAAATGACCCATGGAGTTCCCCTTTATTTACTGATGGACAACTGCTTTTAATGTGGACTTGTTAACACTTTCCACAAATCATTACTGATGACGGCAAGTTCTTGGATATCTTCTTTCTGCACTATTTCTCTGGAACTTGTTTTTCCAAAAGAAATGAAACACAGGATTTGGACCACTTTCCTACTTAGTCTTAAGTAAAAGGTTTCAGTCAATGTCTCTGATTTAGTAGAGGCTTAACACAAGGAATACATATGCTGTAGCCCACGTCCTGAATGCATCTGTGTATGGTGGTTCTTGAAAACTCTTGAGCTGGCTCTCTATCACGATTTCTTTACTTTATAGACTGACCTTCTAGCATTTGTGTCAACCTTTCATTAAAAACACAGATACAAAACTTTGGGAATGAAAAGCTTATTGAGCAATAAGCGTTTATAGTCGTTGTTTCCTTTTTATTGAAAGGATCAGCTTAAAGGTCTCGAAGCAATCAAAGGATATGTTTTTCACGTTTTTATAGCTTAGACTGCCATAATACACCGTACCTTACATATGATGGTAGATTTTTCTATGTATTTAAAGATTTCATAACCGGTATTAAAAGGTTTAGCGGTGTCTCCTTGTATTAAGGTGCTGGCATCTAGTTTTGTCCTTTGAACTAATAGAGAAAAAAAACTTATGGCAACAAGTAACAGACATGAAAAATGCTGTATCTCAGTCTGCTGCTGAAAAGTAACAGACTGAGATATAGGATTCCTGTTTGTATTCAATGAATAAACTAAATAAGTTTTTAGTTTTAAATTGCACATTAAGTGGGAGGGCCTATGTCTGTCCTCCACTGCACACTGTATTGGTTGGCTAAAGCCATAAGCAGAGCTAATTGTGGCTTTAAGCTGGGGAGTCTAGCTTAGATGCAACAGTTCTCTTCCACCTAATACAGGGAGAGTGCATTGCAGCCCCAAGATTGGCCATGGAGTTGTCCGTCAGTGGCATCCCACAGAGCAGCACAGGTGGGTAAACCTTGGCTTCTTCTGCATCACGTGAAGCAAGTTAGCTCCCCCCTCCCCCTAGAAGAAGTGATTGGCTTGCAGGCTTTTACGGTGCATGTGTGTGTATGCTTAGTAGATTAGAAAAAGGTAGATGCAGTGCACGTGGTTTTCCCTGTGGGGATAATCTGTGGAACATCCTCAGATGTGCTTTTTTGGGCTTGAGAATTAGAAGGCGTCATAGGGACACTGGAGTTTGTGGGCAGGGCTTTATGGGCGGAACATTTCACTTGGATCACTGCTTTCTGTGTTGTTCTATGTTTTACTATCTTGAGACTAAAAGCTCGAAATCAGTTTTTCTGGTTGGAGACCTTTGATGTAGCTGACAGGGTTGCTATCTCCAATCACAGGGTGAATTTGGAGCTGCTTCTAGGTGTCTGAATGTATTTTTTATTTTTATATTTTTTTTACACAGCCTCATCTCAAAAGAAATGCATTTTTTTATTATATCACAGAGGCTTCACTCTTTCGATCATCAAGTTTTCACCAGTAGCAGTTTTACCTTTTATGGTTTGAATCCACAGTCAACATTCCTGTGTTTTGTGATGCTACCACCTCTGACCTTCGTGCAAAAGTGCAGAGGGAAGAGAAAATAGATTGCATATATTTCTAGATCACTTGTAAATACGACCCAATTAGTTTTGAAAGCTTTGCTGTGGCTCTGTGTCAATGCAGGCTGCAGATGGCCCCCCTTCCAAAGAAGGAAGTGTCCATTGTCATCACGGGATGTGACAGCAGGACACAGGGATAAATATGTTTTTGAAATTTTTTTGAAAGATTAAACAATTGATTATCAGTTTTTATTGTTTTAAACTTAAGGTAATTGTTTTTTTTAACCTTAAAACCATGCAACTAGGCACAAATTACACCATATTGTCGATATTTTCAGTCTACAGACCTTTTTTCATATGTCCCTCAGACCCTACTAAATGTTACTTGAGCTATTATGTGCTATCTGTTCCACCATCTCCTCTCAAGTTTTGTGTCCCAGAAGGAATGCAACCTTAAAAAAAAACACCTCTCCCACTCCAGCAGGATCTCTGTAAACTAAGCTATAGAAAAGTGTCGTCGAGTGGCCCGTCCGTTCCTTTCCCTCCCCCATCTGCTTCTTGTCTTGATATTTCCAAACCATCGGTTGCGTTCACAGAGGGGATTAATGGTTTCTGAAGGGAATGGCGCTTTCAAGCGAATGGGGAACAGCTGGTCTTCCCTCTGCCTGGCAGCTCCAGTGTTTTGAGTGTGATTTTGTTTTTGTGTGTGCGATGTGTAACATCTGACCTTTGCACACTGTCAGAGTTGTTACTCCTGTTCTTTAGAACCCTTTTAAGGTCACTGCTTCTCACTGACTTCCTGCTTTTAAATGCAATGCTGATTTCTTCATGTGTACAAACTCTCCCTATTTAGTGTAAATCCATTTACATAACACCAAATCAGATGTCAAACGATAGTACTTGAGTAGAGAGGTTTTAAAAGCAACGGTTTAATCACTTCAGACTTAGATTTCTGTGCTACTTTGGCTTGAAAGAGGCATATATTTCTTGAAGGAGCTGAATTAGGGGCTTTAAATTTCATAAAAGACCAACTCAAAGTCATGCATAACTGTGAAGCAGAGCCAACTTTTACTGGAAAGCTACACCTGCAGGTTTCTACCTGCTTTTTACTTTAAATGGTTCATTCTTTTCCGTTTTTTTTTTTTTTTTTTGCAAAATACCTTAAAGCTGGGTCAGAGAGGAAGTAGAACTTCTTCTTGGTGTTATTTTCAAGTTTTCAGCTAATCTAGTAGATTAAACTTCCTTTACTGGGCTATTTTAATACACACTTTGATCTAAACAGTATCAGCTTACCTAAAGCTGGATTTTTATTGTCAGGAAAGGTCTGCACCCACTCAGCATGATGCGGCCACCACCATGTTTCACTGTGTGGATGCAATATTAGTTCCCCCTACAGAAATAGTTTTGCATGCAGGACATAAAGTAAAAAGCTCCTTCTTCCACGTGTCACTTAAACAAAATGAAAACCATTAAACATGTTTTTGTTTTTACAGCTTGTAGATCGCTTTGTCTTGTCTGATTTTTGTGCTCGCCTCTTTCTTTGTTTTTGTTTACATGTCAGCTGCAGTTTGAGTCCGTTCTGCATTTTAGAAAAAAAACAGCCTGTCTTTCATCCTGTCTTTCCAATTACGTGTCGCCGATCGTGGCGCAGGTTGCACCTTTCTCGGCAGCAGCCGTGGAAAGGATCGGTTTTGTGCTCGCTGAACAGCAACAGCTGCATCCACTTAAACAGACAACTACCTCTGCACACCTCCTCCTTCTTCTTCTTTTTTTTTTTTCTATGCATGTGTGTGATCTCTCTCCCCCTCCACCTCCCTCACTGAGCAGTGGGCAGGTCACCCTGAATTATTCATCAGTGAGAAATGAAAAAGCTCATGGATATTGAATATCCTTTCTGAAGTGGTGGCCAACATTGTGTGTGCTTTTTTTTTTTCTTTCTTCCTCTGTTTTTTTTTTTTTTTTTTTCCCCTTTTTTTTTTTTTTTTTTTTTACCTCCAGCTGAATTGAGTAAAGGGTAGCCGATCTCATTGGCAGGGTATTTCAAAGGTTAACCAATTGCTTTACCTTGTGCACATATTTACTTATTTCATGGTCCCTGGCTAGCGAGGTGGGGGTAGGGAGTCGCTGTGGAAAGAGAGGGCATGAAGAGTAAAACAGAGCAAGATGAATAGAAGAGGAAGAATATATTTTTCTCTCAGAGGAACTTTCCCTTTTTTCTTTTTTTACCGCTTTTTTTAAGTGTTGCCCCTCCTCTCCTTTCCTGGAACAAGCCTGCTTTGGCCGTTTGTGGCCATCCTCATCGACCAGTTGTCCTTCATTTCCTATTGTACATCAGCCTGGTCTTTAGCCCTCTGGTTTGATCTGTGGCTTGTGCCGTAAATCAATTCTACAGTCTCCCCTCAATTCAACTTAGCTGCCAAAAAACACAACAGAGCTTCTCAGAACATCTCCCATGCGAGAAGGTTTTAAAACAGGCAGCAAGGATTAGTGGGAAAAGTCTCTTAAGTTTCAGCTCCCTCGCTCTTTTTCTGTCTTCTATTCTCCTAAATGCAGAAGACATTATACACCCTTATTTGTCCAGTTTTAACTTGGATCAGAGTCTTTGTTTTTTTTAATGAGCTAACTGGATAATAATTACCAGACGCGTTTAGACTGCTTTCTTTGTGCTGGAGATTACTGGTTTACGACTAGCTTTCAGTTCATTTCAACCCTCACTTAAATTGTGTCCCCAATTGGTGCTTCGCCCCAAACTACTAGCATTTCTTACTCACGCACAAAACAACCTCAACAACTGTTTTACTTTTTATTTCTTAAACGGATACATTTAAGGATTAATCATCCATATATTATTACAGTACATGCTTGCATTTCAGTTCGTTTTCATGATTATGGTTTACAGTTCAGAGTAACCCACAAAAAAGTCTCTTTTAAGATTGAATAAAAAATGTATTTTTTAGTGTAATGTTACAGACATGGATTAGTGTGGTTTACACAGTTGATAGGCAGCTCTCTCCATAAGAATGGTAAGCCACAAACAGTCAGTTCCAGATCGGGTCTCTAAAGGTATCACGGAAAGTTAAGGGGAAGGAAAATGTAGGATTGTGAGGCGAACCCTGTTTGAGAGTTTGGGTATAGATTCTCAAGGTGTGGACTTTGGCTGAAGTCAGTGTTTCAAGGACCGACACAGAGACAACCTGGGCTGCACCGCTCACACCTTATGGCAATTTCTTTATCCAAATAACTCCATTAATTCTAAAAAAATAAAACAGAAAACATCCAGAGCACAAACTGCAGCTAAAGACTAGGGGTGTCCTGATGAAACATTTTTATTTGCAATATGATACCAGTATTCCAGCACTGAGTTTTGACCGATACCAATATTGACCAGATACAATATTGGCATTAATTATACACACTTTTATTACTTAGTTTATAGTGTTAAATGATAGAAATAGGATCAAGTGATGTTTCTCAAACAGAGAACAATCATTAACAACTCCAGGTATAAGAACAACTGGTGCATATCTTATTAACCCAAGCCTTATATAAACTTAATTGAAAATTGTATAGAAGGGACGCATTTCTATGAGCCTTCGAATATCTGAGAATTTAAAGGCAGGCCAATTTATTCAGATTTTTTTTAATTATTTTTGTCTGATATTGAATCGATTTCTGATATCAACCTCACTGCTGGAAGCCACCATTTCTGCAAAATATTTAACAAGCTGTGGAAGTGCAACATTTATTTATTTTTACTAAAGGGAGACATTTTGGATTTTAATGAACTTTTCAGCTCTTTCTGACAATAATATTGAAGACTTCACTTCTATAAGAAAACAAAACACCTAAATGAAGCCAATCTTTTTACAGTTGTTATGTCTTATATGTGTACCGCGGGAAAATGAAAAATAACAAAGAAAATAATATTCCAAACCTCAAGAGGCATATCCTTTGTTTTCTGCTTTGCATGTTGGTTTGGCTCATACAGAAGGACTTAATGCTTTACTGTCCATTAATAAATCGAGAACCACACAGAACTGACCCTGCATGGCTCTCATATGCCATTATGTTACTACCATGCTTCCTCTCGGTCATTACAGTCCATTTTACTTCAATACCAGTTCCTACCTCAGCACCGACAATTACCCAGGAATCCTTTTAAGAGTATTCCCAGGCTGTACAAAGACCAAATGTTCCTGCAGGAAGCAGTCAGGGCTTTAAGTGGCCAACCTTTTTCCAAAACCTATTTTTAACCAAGGCATAATGACTGACAAATTGGAGAAAGCAATTTGATTTTCCCTATAAAAAAGAGAGAAGCAAGTCAATCTCTTAGACTTCCAGGAAACATTTTTGTCAAGCCAATTTGTTTGAGAACATCATGTTACCTTCAGGTTACCAACTTTAAGTGGTGTTGGGTCTCTGGAGCTGATGTCATTCGTGTGCAGCATCAGGTGACGGGTTTAGTGTTCACTCTGTAGCCTCCAATAGGTTTCTGCGTATTTTAGTTTTTATGGGAAGTGCAAAACAACATTTGGCACAGTGGAGGGATGGGGATGAGCAGGTGGGCAGTATATGGTGATAATAGTGGCTGCAGCTCTTTAGCAAAGCAAACTTTTATAGGAGTAATATTATCTGAGGGCTGTCTCCTAGCTGACAGGACCCCCCTCACCCTGGAGTTTTTATCGTAATGGAGCACAGCTGGGCTGCGGCTTGGATGGGTTAATAGCCATGTCGCAGCTTTTCAAGGGGGGGATTGGAGGCGCTATGTGCGAGCATGGCTTTTATTTACTCGTGCACGCTCGAGTGGCATCCAGCAGCCACACTGAGGAGGGTGGAACTTTGTGCTTCTCTCTTGCCCTCTCTGGCTGCCAGGCCAGATGGCTCCTGTCGCTGCAAGAAGAGGAGGAGCGATGGAAGGAAAAGAGGGAATGGGGGGAGGCTTTGAGTTGTCCTTAACGGAGCCGGAGTGGCCTGTCCCCAGGACCGCTACATCTGGAGACCACCTGCAGCTGGCTGGAACTGCTTCCTACCTCCTCACTTAGTTTCCCCATGCTTATTTCTCAATCCCAGATGGGGTTAGGGGGGTAGTTGGAGTGGTGGTGGTGGCAGGGATGTGTTTAGCCAGGCTCTGTGCCCATATTACTACAACTTTCTCTCTGCTTCGGGTGGAGGAGGTGCAGAAAAAAGCAGTGATGTCGACATAACAGCATAGCAAAATATCATTTTATTTTATGACTGCAGTATCCTCTGAGAGGTGAGGGTTTTTGTATTTGCTATATTTCTTACTTCGTTTTTTTTCCCTCCCTTTTATTCCTCCCCAAGTAAAAAGGCAGAGAGAGAATGTTCGTTTTTCTTTCCCTCCACTCTTACTACAACTGATCCAGAGGCCACAGGGGGGCTGTTCCTGCCTGGAAGATAAAGCCTGCCTGCCCTCCTTGGCTACCCCCAAATAAAATATGCTCATTTGCATTCCCATGCTGTAATTTATCCCTCCTGTTGTTCTCTTCTCTTTTCCTTTTTTTTTTGCTATCTCCATCCTTCATCCCTGCTTCTTTTCAGACCTTTTTCTTGCGGTTCCGTGGGGATCAAGGCGTAAGGGATGGATGTTGGAAGAATTAGAGAAAACAAAAGCAAGGAGGCAACGGGCAATGTTTACTTAGGGTCTGTTATCTGGACAGCTGCTTGGGGGGTGGGGAGATATACTCCCCTCAGGCATGTATGTGTTGACATACATGCCTGAGGGGTGGCATTTTGACATTTCCCCTGCCTACATGAGCAGGTGAATAAACCTGAGCGTGTTAATTAAATATTTGATACAGGAAAACTTACAATGCATCATATGACACGACTTGCAGAGATGCAACAATCAGACTTTTTCTGGCTGATACCAATTTATGATTTACTTCGGTGCCTGACCTGCCAGTTCTTTTTTTTTCAAGGGATTATAACATGAAAGAGGAAAACTCAGCTTGGGGCCTAGTGGTTTTGAATCCAATAGAGCATAAAGGAATCACAAGATTATACCAGTTTATGCAACAAAGCATTTATCTGACCTTGATGGGAGTTTTATCAAACTCATAAAATTGCATCAAGCTATAAGCTGTGGATATATGTGTTTATGGATTTAAAAAAAAAATTACAATTCAAAGCACTTTTAAGGAAATCTAACATTGACATTCTGCAGAGCATCAAGGTTAAACTCACAAGTTAATGTTACATGTGTAGACATTGAAGTAATGCTGCTGTTTTGTTCATGAGAGATTCTCTAATTCATCTATTTATGTTTCATCCTGCACTTTGTTTATGCATCGAGCAGAACGTCCATCTTTCCAGCTAAATGTATGCATGCTCCATGTTAAAAGTCTTTTAAACCTCAGGTATAGTGGAGGATTTTCGGAAATTTTTGAAAAGACCCGCCTTCTCCACTTTAACAAAAAATACGCATGCACAACCCTGTACCCACTGCTGAGGGGAACGCCCATTAAACACGTGTGAGAGCATGCACAAGCCCATTTTTCCGCGTGCACACTCTGTTTAAAAGATGCTGTTTGCATCACTCGTACAAGCTTAATTTCCAAAAGAAGATTTGCAATTTTTCCAGTAAGTAAGACTCGCCACTGGTAAGTGAAAATGGGGACGAGCACATAGGATGGACTTACATAAACATTAGGGATGCACGATATTGGGATTTTGGCCGATATCCGATATGCCGATATTTTAAAACTCATGTAGCCGATAACCGATATCGATACCGATGTTAAAAAATTTTGTGAATTTTCGGGGGATTTTGTAGCATAACGATGAAATATAGCAATATTTCATTAGTAAAAGAGGTTGATATGGCAATATATCAGCATATGAAGATATTGTGATATTTTACTGTATCAATATTTTTTCCCTCGTCTTTAGACATTTTTAAGTCTGTATAAAAGAAGTTTTTGAGGAAGAAGAAGTAGTATTTTTTTTTTTAGACTTTAGAAACTCAGAAGCTGATCAAATATCGGGTTAAATATCAGTGTGGTGGCCGATGTCCGATACAGGCCAATACCGATAGGGGGCCGATTATATTGTGCTTCCCTAGTAAACATATCACCAGATGATTGACAATAAGAAGGATCACTTATTTTGATGATCCACCTGGAAAAAGAACAACCTCTACTATACCTTTAAATATCTGCTTTCATTCATGGATAAAAAAAAAGTCTGAGTGGGTATGAATTCATATATTCATTTTCTCTAGCACAGACACAATGACAGCCTGGCTAAGTGATGGTGCTTCATTACTTTCCTTCAGTAAAGATGTCTTCTAAACTAGAGGTGCTCGATATTGCCTTTTTTGCCGATATTCGATATGCCAAAATTTGACATACTGAATTTTTGATTCCAATATAAGCCAATACCGATATAAACATATTTCACATCATACCAGTCACAAAATTTAAGCATAACCTACATTTACTGTGATGCCCCACTACACACTGTGTATTCCCCAAATGATTGCCATTGTATAGGATAAAAACAGCATTTCAACTTCAGGAAAATGCTAACTTCGACATTTATTTTCAATGCTGTCTCAAACATCATTTTGGAATATGCTCTTCCTGAGTTTAACCTGACAAATAATATTCAAACAAGAGATAAATCTCTTTTCTTCACAAATAGGAAAAAAGTGTACCTCACCAGTACAGCTGTATTGCACAGAATTGAATGTAAACACAAATGAAGTCCAGTGTAGGATCGCTGTTGAAGGACGAAGTCTTGGTTCCCCCACGAATGACAAGGAACTCACATTCGTTGCAAACCGCAAACTTCAAGTCATCATTTGAAACTTTAAAAAAGTCACACACCGCAGACATTTTTCGTTACAAACAGTTTAGCTTCGCTGCTACACAGTTTGCCGTCTGGCACGGTTCAGGGAGCATCGCGTGCTGGCAAGAGCGCTCGCTTCAACATATTTCGCAAAATCTAGGCGTTATATTATCAGCTTTTAATTATCCGGGGGAAACCCGATAAGGATATTGACAGATATCACATAATTATGCTAATATCGGCTGATAACATCGGAGGTTTTGTGTCGAAAACACTACAGGAGCAAAATAACTTAGAAGCATCAAATACCGTTTTGCTCATACACAAATGGGATCATTTTCTTTGAGCCCTTCTATAGGTCATATGAATACACGTTCCCTTGTATTTTATCAAGCAAAATCCAGACAAAGTTGTACCATGTTATAAGTCTTCTACATTACTTTTGTGTGTCCTAATGAAATTAACTAGGATTAGAGTGACAGTTGTTATGGGAAGGCTTTCTTTAAAATCTGAGTTTACCAGGAATCCAATATGAACGTTAGAGGACCGGAACTATTTAATTTCCTTCAGACTGGAAAGAAAAAGTAACATATTTTAGAAACATAGGAATGGAAGGAAAATAAATACAGAAGAGCTTCATTTGACAACATTACAGGGAAATCCTCTGTGGTAAACCTGATGTGAGGTTATCCTCCCCCCGACCCAGTCATGCAGCTAAAGCGAAGCCCTGAACCTCCAGTGGGATTCCCTGAACTCAGGCTTGGTCCCCAAGCAGCACGTTGGCTCGCTCAACCTCCTTAATTTCCTAAAAATTCCTTTAAGAGCTTTAGGGGGCTTTAACTGGCCTCTGCATACACCTCTCACCAGCCAAGTTCTTACACTTACACTTGGAGGAAAAGGCCACATACAGTATAATTAGGCTGCTTTATAAAGAGGGATTGCTTTCTGTGTTAAATCCACACAGGAGACATGGGCCAATTGTGGGGTCTTCTACAGCTTGACTGCTGCTTCTGATGTTTTACTGTGCCAAGGGTCAGGGCTTAAAGAAGGCATCCAGCTGGAGGGATCTTACAGGCTGAGTAATATAGCTAATAAGCAAAAAGCAAACTGAAGTTTGTTGGCACAGCACTTTTTTTCTTATATGAACTTCATTTGTGAATGGAACAACTCTAAGATGTAATTGCGAAGAAAAATGGCGGCTTGCATTCAATGTCAATGTATAGGACCTTTTGCTGTGGTTACAGCTGCAAAGTTGTTGGGTTAAATCTTAACCAGCTTTGCTCATGTGGAAAATGTGTGTGTTTTTTTTCTATGTAAAATTGCTACAAGTCTCTCAATATCTTATAGCTCTAGCTATATGTTTGAATTTAATTATTTCAGTTTAATTGTTTTACTTATTTGAATTAATATAACTGTTGAATTCAATTTCCTTAAATCCCCAAACAGGGTTTGCAGGGTTTTTTTTCCTGCCCCATCCTAAAAGTTTTTTCTTCCAAAATGTCCCTTTATTTGTCTTTATCCTTATAACCAACCAATCTTAACCAATGACTCTGATCTTTCTTGCTTGAGAAAGACATTCACGCAGCATGTTTCATGATAGGAATGATCTCATCTTAGCAGAGCAGCTTTTTTCCTATTTGATGTATCCCCTACAGTTTGTCTGGCAAAATGCAAACAGTGTTTTTCTTAGGCTTTTTTTACTCAACCATTATTATCTATACTCTTTATCTATACTGCTTTTTTATTTTGTAGAAAGTGTGGTTTCTGATTGTCTTATAATAATAATGATAACAACAACAATAATGATAATAATTGAATTTTATTGATCTCATATTGGAGAGATTTACTTCTGCATTTAACCCATCCCTTTGGGCTGCCATGATGGGGCGACCGGGGAGCAGTGTTGGGTTAAGGGTCTTTTGCTCATCCCTGTGGTTTGATGCTACTACTGCCGTGTATTACAGTAGAAATAATGCACTAATGGTAGTGTTCAGGGAGGATTAGTAGGATGTGTTAGGCAGGAATCTTTAAGATTAAGGTATTGTTTTATAGTGTCACCCTACTTCTGGATAGGGCAGGGTAGTTAATTGCAAAATGTAACAAAATTTAACAAAACACAATTTTCATATTGCAGATGCACTCAATTTTGGCCACGTTACATTTAACATTTCTGACTCCAACCCTTTAGGTGGCAGTAATGCACCTATAGTGTGTTCGGGAAGAGAGAGTTGCA